CCCCCCGGCCTCCAGGAGCCGGGGCTTTAAGAAAAAAATCCGCCCTGCAGGAGGTGGGTGATACTGCCCGTCACTGGAGGGGACCAGCCCGCTCGGGTGTGGCCCATACTAATGGGGAAGTCAACTTAAGATACACAACTCCAGCGAGGTAATTACAGCTTCCTGTTAATTACATAGTTGGCGTCATCATATCCAGGGCCAGATCGAGCCATTCCTGCGACCTAGGCTGCAGGCAAGCGACCCGCCCCCCGGGCACATGGCTCATGTGCAGCCCCGTCCCCCAGCCGCTGTGCACCTTACAGCTGCAATTGGACGCACGGCGCCTGACGGCAGCTGTAAAGGGTTCAGCATGGCCGGGTGCATGGCGCCCCTTACAGCTGCAATCAGGTGCTCCCCCATAGGTTGGCGCCCCAAGCAGCTGCCCAGCTAGGCCTCCCTCTCCACTTAATCTGTCCCTGATCATATCTTAAATCCAGTTTTTGTGCTGTCCATACAGCGGAAGGTCGACAGGAGCAAAAATTCCCATGGGCTTTCCTTGCTCCTTGAGTACCGGCACTGATGGGAGCGCCCTCTCAGTGTGAATTAGCGAGACTTCACTAGACCCGTGAAATCGAACCCTAGAAGATCAGCCTCCAGAGGGTCAATCTTTTCCATAAGGTAGACAAATCCTCAGTGCTTTCCTGCAATGTCCAACAACGGACTGCTCTTGTTACCTCAGCTGAAAGGATACCATTGTGCATACCCTTTCTGTTTGAACCCCTGCTACAGTCACTTTATAAAATTTAATAAAGTTTTGAGAACATATTCAGTCCTTTAGCAAGAGAGACAAAATTTTAAGCCTTATAAATTTCAACTCAAGTTCTTAAAATCATTTTGGGAGACAGATCTAAGACAACCAATGCAATTTATTACAGTAAATGGAACACATTCTTGGATTTCAGCATTACAAATAGGCAAGATCGAGACCCCCAAATGTACCATTTATCATCAAACCTACCAAGTCTAACAGTGACTTATTTCATTCTGGTTTACAACTTCGTATCATTAGGGTGCATTTAGCAGTCATTTCAACTTTTCATACACAGATTGAGCCCAGAAGAAAAAAATTACAAT